TCGTGCTTGATTTGTACGGCAACTGAGTATACGTTTTTGAATCCAGACCTTTTAGTACCGGTGGTGCGCCCAGGATTTGGTCCATACGGGCGTTCACCTCTCTCATAAACCATAAGAGTTCATTTTTGAAGGGATCATTTTTGTTATTGGGGCCGGATTCGCTCCCCACAGCTCCATCGGAACCAGTCCCGCCCCTCGGGGTGTTGTTGTCGACCCTCTGCATTGTTTGATTTGCTGAAGCGCCGGGAGCAATTGGACCTCGACTATTCGCGTTATTCGAAGCCCCTGATAACGCTTGTTTCAACTTCGTCATCACCTGATCCTACCGTGTGAGGTGGCCTAGAATGATTGCTTGTTGCTCTTGTAGGACCCTTACCGCATGAACAACATGCTCCTCTTCCGCATCATCGGGAGTCGCCTCCCGAACATGTCGTGGATATGCTTGTCGTGGACCGGCGAGGCGTCGTTCACCTCATTGTGGGTGTCACTGACTGAATCCTCACGATGAGCCTGGTCTCCTTGAACCTCAGGATTGTGCGTGTTGTCAACACCATTATCTGCCATATTTTATGATTTTTTGCTAAGACAAATAATCAGAACACGTTAGTAAAAGAGACAAGGATCAATTTAATTACACGGCTGTCTAGACCCCACGGTGGGCGCCAAACTGTTTACCCGTAAAATGGTGTAAGTGAATTTATATGTGACTTTTAGACAAGTGAATTAATTCGATCCTGAATAATAAAAGAATTGAAGAAAATGCAATACTTAGCCTTGAAATGAAGATAAAATAGTAGAAACAGTGATTTCCGAGAGCAAGGTTTCCGGACGCAACAACGATCAAATCAAGTAATAAGAAGATAAAAATATATGGAGCTTCGAATTGATTATAGTATAAGCTTGCTAGAAAATTCGTGTCCTTTGCAACGACGGCATAGCTCACTATTTATAGCTGCACCTAGGGAATAAGATACTAGGATCAAGCCCCTCTTAAATGACAATTATGAGGGCCATTGAAGAATGTATAACGGAAGGCAGTGAATGCCATATTCTCTGTAACGGACCGTGCACTTAATGTTATAGAATATTCTTCACTGAATGGTGCTAGGTGACATATATTTATTTCGCCTTTATGAATATCATTCTCTCCGGTAACAAATGGGGTCATTGCCTACGGTTCTGACTGTCTTCTATCTTCGTCTCCACGTATCGCTTTCTCACATGATCATTTAATATGAGCATATTTTACCTTATACAATATTCTGAACCCATTATCTATTTAATTTCAAAATGTTTCTGTCGGTCTTTTGGGAGAACTTTTGTGAGTAATAAATTAATAAAAACTCACTTAGTCAGCCATTAATTTTTGGAATTTTCTTTTAGAAAGGACACGTTGAGCTTAGGATACTCCTTAGTTTGACTTTTAGGTCAATCTTAATTAGTAGTCCCTCAATTCTAATGTAACAACACGTGTAAAAAAAATAGTTCTATGCACTAAGTTCTCGCTATGCCTGAATTCGGGAAAGGGTCGGACCACATGGGTCTATTGTAAGCACGCTTACCCTGCATTTCTGTAAGAGGTTGTTTCCACGGTTTGAACCCGTAACTTTCTAGTCATATGGCAGCAACTTTACTAAGAACATATGTATTTCACTGAATTTGTTTGAACTTTGGTACACTAATGTGTGATGTTTTTTTTGTTCTTTTTCCATGTTGACAAGCATAAGCTGGAGGTGCTTAGGAGCCCGTTTGGATTGGTTTATTTTAAGTGATTTTAAGCCAAAATAGCTTTTAAGCCATTTAGTAATGTTTGGACAAAGTAAAAAAAGTGCTTTTAAGCACTTGTTTTTAAGCTAAAATGACAAAAATAAGCTAAAAGCCAAAAGTTAAAATTCCTAACTTATAACTTTTGGTTTAAAAGTCACTTAGAACAAGCCCATCCAAACATGCTCTAGATCTTCTCTGGCTTTATTATTGACAGAGAATACTAAGTAGAGTACATCCTTTTCAAGTAATAGTTGTCAAGTAGCACTTCAGGTCTACATTTTCTACAATTAGGCCAAACAATATTATTATTATTATTATTATTATTATTATTATTATTATTATTATTATTATTATTATTATTGTTATTGTTATTGTGATGTCATGTATCTAAATACTACTCCATAACTAGAAGTTTCGGGGTAAAACTCTGAAAACAAAATCGCCTTTCATATGAAGCGTTTTATCCACCTTAAAATGTAACTTTTTTCAAATTAATCGGATTCCAAAGCAGATATCAAACATCAAATATATTATAGATATATACACACGCTATTATATTTTGTTTATATAGAAAAAGAATCTATTACACAGAGAAGAGGAAAGGAAAAGAGACAAAAGACAGTGAAAAATTGTACCTATATCTAGAGCCCGCTAGTATTGGCTGAATTTAAGTAGCTTTAAGTACCAAATGCTGAAAAATACTTAAGTGCCGAAGTTTAATTTATTAGTAAGTGATTACGTAAGCGATGACGCTGAAAATAAAAAGTTTGATGTGTTTGATAAAATAATTATTTCTTTTATTTAAAATGACCTAATACCCTTAAAACTGTTAAACTAAAAAATAAGCTTATTACTGTAGATTTTTAATTTTAGATTAATTCAAATACCCCAAATTACTAAGAGTATCGTTTAGTTATAAGCTGATTAGATAAACTTTTTTTAACAAATGCAAAGGATTTATATAAATAAGATAATTTAAATACGTCGAGGAAAGAAATTACAGCTTGTGCAATTTAAATTTTTGCTAAATCATCACAAGCAAAAGCTGGACTTCCATTGGCTCCTCTAGTGAAAGAGCACAAAATTACTGTCTTTCTTTATTCCCTATGAGCAGAGTATCACATAGAAGGATAATGGAAGCAGAAAGAAAGAAAATGGAGTTAGGGTTTTTAATTAAGGGAAGGGTCTAATTCTATCCAGATGTGATTAATGTTGTATATCTGCCACGCAATTACCCCTAAACAACCCCAATGCTGGTGAGATTATTGGAAACCCTGTCCCTCTACAGATTATTGTGTGTGTGTCTTCTGAGGTCCCCATCCCCGTAACCAACCCATTCGTCCCGCTTGGGTACCCCCACTATATCAGCCAACTTTACCGGTATGCCTTCTGAGGTCCGCCCCCAGGCACCATTTTTAAGGGTACCTTCTACATTGTTCACCGCACCACTAGTCTCTACTACGGCACAACCAACAGTGCCCAGGCCATGCTTTGAGCCTTCAGCTTTCACTTTTCAAGGCCCGCAATTTTAGCTAGACACAACTCATGTTACACCAAACTCTTACCCTCAGCACCCGCAATACGAGTCTCCAATGGAACAGGAAAGAACAGTGAGAAACCCGAGCAGGAAGAAATGGCTCGCAAGATGAGATGCCTAGAACAAAAGCCTGAAAAGCATGCAAGGCCTGAGTGGCCAAAAGAGTGTTCGACCTGTGTATGTTTCCCCATATTCACTTGCATGCTGGCTTCAAAACGCCAAAATTTGAAAAGTACGATGGGCACGGAGACCCGATCGCTCATCTGAAACGATACTGTAACCAGCTGAGGGGTGCTGGTGGAAAAGAAGAATTATTGATGGCTTATTTCGGGGAAAGCTTGATTGGAATCGCTTTAGAATAGTACATGGACCAGGAAATCTCCCACTGGCACATATGGGACGGTTTGGCCCGCGATTTCGTCAGACAGTTTCAGTATAATGTTGACATAGCTCCGAACAGGAACTCCCTGTCTAATTTGAAGGAGAAAACCACTGAGAGCTTCCGCGAATATGCTATTAAATGGCGGGAGCAGGCTGCCAGAGTAAAGCCTCCCATGGATGAAACCGAGATGGTTACGGTCTTCTTACAGGCCCAGGAGGCCGATTATTTTCAGAATATGATGTCCGCCATGGGCTAACCTTTTGCAGAGGCAATAAAAATCAGAGAAATGGTAGAAAACGCTCTGAAAACTGGCCGAATATTAAGTCAATCTGCTTTGAGAGCCACCTCCCAAGCCATCCAGAATGGCTCGGGGGGTTTGGCCAATCGAAAGAAGATGGAGGAAGGAGCCATGATGGCTTCAGGTTCAAGAGGGCCCCATCGATCATATGATAACTCCTACATGACGCCCAGAACCCCGCAACACTACTATCCCCACCAAGATGCAGCCTATGTCGTGTCACCGCCTCATGCGGTGATGAATGCCCAACTCTATGCACGGCCACAACAGCACTACAACCAAGCCCGAGCTCCACGTCCCAGAAATAACCATCCTCACCAAGCTCCATATAACCCCCGTCCACCACAAACAAGACCAACATAATTCACGCCCTCGTGAGCCTCCCAGGAGGTGTGACAATCACATCAAACTAACTCCGTTTCTCATCAAATTTGGCAGACAAGTCATAAATATAGTAATGGACCTATACCGAGTTTCGGAACCAAAATACGGACCCGGTATTAATAATGTCAAACAATGGTCAAACCTTTAAATTCATTAAACCTTTAAAATTCAAATTTTCGACAAAAAACGATAACTCGAGCTAGGGTAAGAGACAAAAGACAATGAAAATTGTACCTATATCTAGAGCCCATTAGTATTGACTGAATTTAAGTAGCTTTTAAGTACCAAATGCTGAAAAATACTTTAAGTGCTGAAGTTTATTTTTTCAGTAAATAGTTACGTAAGTGATGAAGCAGAAAATAAAAAGTTTGATGTGTTTGATAAAATAATTATTTTCTATTTAAAATGACCGAATACCCTTAAAACTGTTAAACTAAAAATAAGCTTATTATTGTAGTATTTTTAATTTTAGATTAATTCAAATACCCCAAATTACTAAGAGTATCGTTTAGTTATAAGCTGATTAGATAAACTTTTTTTAACAAATGCAAAGGATTTATATAAATAAGATAATTTAAATACGTCGAGGAAAGAAATTACAGCTTGTGCAATTTAAATTTTTGCTAAATCATCACAAGCAAAAGCTGGACTTCCATTGGCTCCTCTAGCGAAAGAGCACAAAATTACTGTCTGTCTTTATTCCCTATGAGCAGAGTATCACATAGAAGGATAATGGAAGCAGAAAGAAAGAAAATGGAGTTAGGGTTTTTAATTAAGGGAAGGGTCTAATTCTATCCAGATGTGATTAATGTTGTATATCTGCCACGCAATTAACCCTAAACAACCCCAATGCTGGTGAGATTATTGGAAACCAACCCTGTCCCTCTACAGATTATTGTGTGTGTGTGTGTGTGTCTTCTGAGATGGTATCTTGAACAATGAAAGCAATGAACTCTAGTGTAAAGCCTTCATTTGTTGTGATGAAAGCAATTGGATGAACACATTCTAGTTTGGGATTAAGATGTAGTTGATTGATTAATTCTTGTTCACACATAGCTTTCTTTTTTCCGGAATATGCTTGCTAATATTAGAAAATCCCAAGATATCATAGCAGATACCATACATTTTTGCACATTTCTTTAATAATAATTCAGAAGGAGAGTCTTAGCGTAATTGGTAAAATTGCTTCCATGTGACTAGGAGGTCACGGGTTCAAGCCGTAGAAACAGTCTCTTGTAGAAATACAGGGTAAAGCTGCATACAATAAAATAAAAAAGTGCTTTTAAGCACTTGTTTTTAAGCTAAAATGACAAAAATAAGCTAAAAGCCAAAAGTTAAAATTCCTAACTTATAACTTTTGGTTTAAAAGTCACTTANCCCTTTTTTTTTTTTAAATTCATTCAGCTATGATTGCTAACATTTGATAATATCTGACTTGTTTATGTTCATTACAGTATAGAATAGAAAAAAATATGTGGAGAATGTGTTTATGCAATGACAACAAACTGTTACATGGCAGCTATCAGCCAAACTTGCTTGGAAAAAAGAAGGGTATGTTCACCTGTCAAAAACAGAGAGAAGAGAGATCCTATATTCACACCTAATATTAGTCGAATTATCATTGTAGAACCCACAAAAAGAAAGGACATCAACTTGAGAATCTAGCTCATGCCAACGGCAAACCAGTATTTGATCTTGAGAGCCAAAAAAGAAGAACAGCAAAAGAAGACGAGTAGTACTCTGAAGCACGGCCTTGCTATTCGTTTAAAGCTCCACAGCATGCACTACAAACATAATGGTAACTGCTTGAGGTAAGAGCTCATCTATTTTAGATTAAAGACGAGAATTCACCGGGAAATCAACCGTGTGTTCAGCCTTGTATCTCCCTTCTGCAGAAAAATCAAAACAGGTATGATTATGAAATCTGGAAACCAATTCATAGATAAAGGTCATGAGTGTCAGGGCCCTGTTTCTTGGTGCCAAAAATGTGCAATTGGGTGCCAAGGCAGGCAGTTGGCATAGGCATGCTTGGCACGTGGGACAGTTGAGCGTTGAAGGAAAATGTTATCTTGAAGGCTTGTTGGCAATGTTTGATTTTATTCTGTTATATTTTTTCTTCATCTGCGCCTTTTAAAGCATGGGTGCTTTGTGTTTCAAGCCCCAATAAACTCGGGTGCTTTTCTATGTTTTCGCCTTTGACATTTCTTTCTATATGTGTTATCTTAGTTTCTGATTTATAGGCTGTTAGCCCCGTGTAGGAATTGACTCTTTCAAGAATTGGACTCCTATCACGCAGCAGAATATTTTACTTGTTCAAAGCAAATGATTGATTAGGCTACACACCGGTCGTGCCAATTCAGGTTCCTCTATTTCCTTGAAATCTATGAATTGTTTCTGATACTTTCTGCACATATTCTTTTTTTATTACTTCTTTCTGCACATAAACTATAAGGTCATTATGTGTCTGTGTCATGCTATGTGCTATTGTAGAGATATTGTACTTCTCTTGCAAAGTATTGGTGGGTGTTTTCTTCTGACATGACCGAATGTGGTAAGTTTTCAGCTAATTATATTCTTAGTGTTGCATTAGTTATGCGGAGATTATATTTTCTTATATGGCTAATCAAACATTGTATTAGTTTATATGGGATTTTGTACTGGGATTGTTTTGCTAATGCGGCCTAGATAACAACGCCATTGTGTTATTTTGTGTTTGATTTCATGTAAAAAGAATTTCTATAAAGCAGTCAACTAGACGACCTGTTAAGTATTTCATCTGTAATAACTTTTGTGAGAGTATTGAGCTGAGAATCGTTTATTAGAATACTTATACTTTAGAGGGAAAAACAAACTACAGACAGTCACAATAAATATCTTGCACATGTAAAAGAGTTGAGATGTAGCAGCTAAATGACTCGAAAGATATCTAATCAAATTACTGAAATTCAAGCATCCACTTGTTAGAAGGGCATTCCAACTCTTCGCTAGAAGGGCATTCCATCAGTCCAGCGGTGGTGTATCTAGCTGTAAAAGGCGGAGGGATAGTTAGAATGCTCCCATCTCCTTCTAGCATTTGAGTAACAACTTTGATGGAAGGTCGATCCGTTGCATTCCATTGGATGCACAAAAGTCCTATAATAGCCAATTTCCTAACAATCATGATATCATCATCTTCCTCAATCCTGATTTTTAACTCCTCTCCTTGATTCAGCTGTTGATGAATCCACTCGGGAAAGTTTATTTGGCTAATATTGGCTTTTGCGTCAAAATTCTTCCTCCCTCCAACCATTTCAAGTAGCATCATTCCAAAGCTATAGACATCAGATTTATGAGATGCTTTTCCAAAATTGCTGGATAATACTTCTGGTGCAATATAACCCATGGTTCCTCTAGCTTCAGTCATGGTGACAACACTTTTCTCTTTAGAGCATAACTTGGCAAGACCAAAATCAGAGATCTTTGGGTTCAAGTTCTGGTCTAACAGAATGTTTTGGGGTTTGATATCGAAATGAAGGATTTGTTGGTCACATCCTTGATGAAGATACTCCAGTCCTTTCGCTATACCCATAGCAATATCTTGAAGCTTCTTCCAATTAAGGATAATGCGATCTTTGGAACTTGCTGGAAAAATGAGTTTGTCAAGCGTCTGATTTGGCAAATATTCATACACGAGAGCGTTTTTGAATCCATCAGCACAATAGCCAACTAGGCGAACCACATTGAAGTGGTGGATTTTCCCCATTGCTGCAACTTCATTAATAAATTCTTCCCCATTTCCTATGGAGTCATTTAGCACTTTGACAGCAACATGAATTTCATTAGAAAGTGTTCCTTTATAAACAACCCCGTAAGCTCCCTCTCCCAATCTTTCCTGAAACAGATTCGTTACCTTCTTAAGATCTGCGTAAGTATATCTAGTGGGCCTGAGAGCTCTGTAGTCTTCCAGAAACTTTTCAACTCTCGCTTGATTCTCTCTTTCGATTTTGCTTGAGCTATAAAACTCATAGAGTGCCAACATTATAATTCCCAAAAGAATAAGACCTAGAACTCCACCTGGAACATTTCATCTCACACATCATACAGAAGGCAACTAAACATGTGTACAGAAAAAAATTATGCGAAAATGCATAGAGTACATACCTGCAATCAGTGGTTTCTTTAATGTACCAGCTGTCAGAATCAAATTAAAATTGTTGTTATAGCAAAGAGAAGTACATAATAGTTTTGTCAAGATAGTAAACGTTGATGCATCCAAAATATTGTTTTCCTGTGCTTACACAAAGATAGTTTGGTTTGACGTTGAACATGTATTAGACTCGATTTCAAAACTGTGACCTTCATATTCAGGAATCGGAGTTACTGCACTCCAATCAAGCTTGATGTGATTTTGATTTCAAATATTTAATTGGATTTGGGGACTTAGCTTAGGCTAGTCCAAATTGGTTCATGTTCTCTTCTATTTCGTGTCTGTTGTTTGTTTTTTAAAATTAATGTAAGTGAATCCTGTTTCAAGCTGACTTGTAGTTTCCCAGTGCAGTCTATCCTGTATATCTTGCTGTTTTGTTCAATATACTTTTCATTAATCTTAAACTATAGTATCATGTAAGCATATTTGCAGTTTCTTATTGGCAGGATAAGATAGACCAGAATAAAAAGTAAGCAGAGATTGGAGGTGTTTTATTTATGGACATATACGTTCTCTTTTGTAATTATTATGCAATCAAAATACAACTTTGAGATGAGTTAATACCTTTTGTAGTGGATGGTCGGTCGAGACACTGAGTTCGCAGTTGCTTGGTATAGTTCTTGAAGCCACAATCCTTACCAAGACCTTCACAGTATCTACACTCCGGATTTGACCAATGGAGATAAACGTAATTGTAAGCTATTTCAAAGGGAACTGATGGAATTTCGAGAATCTTTTTGCAAGTTGCAGTGGGGAGAAACCCCAAAGACATTGAGGATTCAATAGCAAATATTGCTTTGTCAGAGGCACAAGGTTGTTCGACCAGATAATCTGCTGGGAATATACCAGAACATTTGAAAATTGAATAGTCAGCTTCATCAGTGAAAAAGAAAGGAGATGTTGATAAATTAAGGTGCAATATCTTAAGAATAAGACAACTTTCAGGATCATAAAGCCGAATCTGCTGAGACATATAATCAATTTCTTCAACAGATAGTCTAACTGAATTGGAAAGGGTGAGTATAGTTTTGTTTTTGCTGTCACAAAATAACTCGAAGCCAGGATAGCCACAATATTCGGGCTGATGTTGAATCCTGAAGGGAAAATGAATGCTAGGGCCATCACTTCCACACCTGGACTCTCTGCAATCATATGTTCCTTCACCAGCCATAGCAAAAAATACCATGATTATGAGAAGTAAGTGCAAGAGGAAAAAGATGGTCATCTCTACTGAAAGACCTTAAAAATCAAGCTTGCAGTTGTGCCAGTGGCAAATATAGAACTTTGACAAGTCTTGCATTAATTTGTTTAAAGGACAGCAGGGGAAGGGCCGCACCCGAGGTGACTTTGCTGGTTGGACCAAAAGTCAATTTTGATGTCTCTTTTTTGATCTGTCTACACTGTACATTATCAAGAAAAGTCTTGCATCCATTAATGACTTCTCTTTCTTTGTGAAGACTGAGGACTTTTCTTTTAGTATTTAGTGACTTCATTTCTTTCTTTTGCAACAGCATAATTGGTATTTTGTGGGCCAAGAAAAGGAGGAGGATGAAAAATTTATCTTCTTGACTACTACTAGCAGTGTTTGGCACCAGTACTGAAAAGGGAAAAAACCAAAAAGAAACACACACACATACACACAGAGTTAACCATGAAAATGTCTGGAGGAACCAAGTTTCTTTCAGTTCTTACAATCCTCATCTTCTTGCAGCTCTCTGACACCCCATTTGCCGAACAGAACCAGCATTGTGCACCTTCTAGTTGTGGGCATATTAAGAACATCAGCTACCCCTTTCGCTTGAAAAATGATCCAAAGCATTGTGGCGACGAAAGGTATGAATTGAGCTGTGAAGGGAATCGCCCCATATTCACGATATTTATGGAACGTTGGAATGGGTCCCTGAACTACTATGTGCAAGCCATCAATTATGATAACTCCACTATCCGCCTTCTAGATCCTGGTATAAGAGAACAAGTTCTTTGCTCTCTTCCGCAGCATTCAATTACATTTTACACTCTCCCTTTTCAATTTGGTTTTACTAAACCTGATGGTTCTTCTGCTCCTTTAGCTGTGCCAATCACTATTTTCAGCTGTCCATTTGCTATGAATTCTCCCGCCTTTGTGGAAATTTCTTATTGTCTCAACAGGAGTGATGCTTCCAGTTTTCCTTCCAAGGGACACACGTATGCAGCCATGGGCGAATTATCAGCATCTAATTTGAGAGTGGGGTGTACTCTAAACCTCATGTCAATGACTTCATGGACTATTGATGATGCAAATGTTTATATTTCAATCTTAGAGCTGCATAATGCTTTGGCATATGGGTTTGAACTTTCATGGTTTCGTGACATTTACTGTAACAATTGCGGCTCTTATTATGGTTGCAAAGGTGAAAGTTCTAGGGATGTTCGCTGTACGGATTGCACGGTTTACAATTTTCATTTCTTCAAAACTTCATGTGGTAAGAATATTCCTGATGTCTTGTGAGAACTTAAGACGTTTTTAGCATTTTTCTATGTAATCTGTAAAGGTCTCTCTCATTCATTTTCTCACTCTCTCTCTCTATTTTGTTTTTGGGGGTTCTTGGATATGCTCTTTAAACAAACACAATGAAGTTACTCAAAGACATCTCCTCCGCGTTCTTGCAAGTAAGCACTCGTTCTATTGTCAATTCTGGTTTTATATATGCTAGGATTATATAAACGGTAAATAGTTGCAAGTGAGATTAACTTGTGTTATTAATTGTTGGTGTTCTTGCAGGATTCATTCCATTTGGTAAGCCACATCTGTTATATTATCATTTAATTTCTATGTTATATTATGGATAGTAATAATTGTGAGAATGCACGGGAGAAAATATATTATTGATGTATTGACATATGTTACAATGAGCCCTATATATATACACACACATAACATGTCCTACTCCTAATATATATTGGATTAGGGTTATTTATTTACTCCTATTTACATGACTATTCTAACACTCCCCCTCAAGCTGGTGCATATAAATCATATGTACCGAGCTTGTTACATATGTAGTTAATACGAGGACCAGTGAGGGACTTGGTGAAAATATCTGCAAGCTGATCATTCGACTTCACAAACTTTGTAGCAATATCTCCTGAGAGTATCTTTTCTCTAACAAAGTGACAGTCAATCTCAATGTGTTTAGTTCTCTCATGGAACACTGGATTTGACGCAATATGAAGAGCAGCTTGATTATCACACACAAGTCTCATCTGACTAATCTCACCAAATTTCAACTCCTTGAGCAACTGTTTGATCCAAATTAGCTCACATGTCGCCATAGCCATCGCTCGATATTCTGCTTCTGCACTAGACCGAGCAACCACATTCTGTTTCTTGCTCTTCCAGGACACCAAATTTCCTTCTACCAAGACACAATATCCAGACGTAGAACGTCTATCAGAAGGTGATCCTGCCCAATCAGCATCTGAGTATCCAACGATCTGCTCATGGCCTCGACCCTCAAACAATAAACCTTTGCCTGGAGCTGATTTTATATACCGAAGAATGCGAACAACTGCATCCCAATGACTATCACACGGAGAATCCATAAACTGACTCACAACACTCACAGAAAAGGAAATGTCAGGTCTTGTCACTGTGAGGTAATTTAATTTACCAACCAACCGTCTATATCTTGCAGGATCGCTAAGAGGCTCCCCCTGTCCTGGCATAAGTTTAGAATTCGGATCCATCGGAGTGTCAACCGGTCTACAACCTGTCATTCCTGTCTCTTCAAGAATATCTAAGGCATACTTTCGTTGTGAGATCACAACACCTGAGCTAGACTGAGCGACCTCAATACCCAGAAAATACTTTAGTTTTCCCAGATCCTTAGTCTGAAAGTATTGCAAGAGATGTTGCTTCAATTTAGTAATACCATCCTGGTCATTGCCGGTAATAACAATGTCGTCAACATAGACCACCAGATAAATACAGAGACTCGAGGCAGAATGCCGATAGAATACAAAGTGATCAGCTTCACTCTGAATCATGCCAAATTCTCGAATAACTGTGCTGAACTTACCAAACCAGGCTCGAGGAGACTGCTTTAGACCATAAAGTGACCGACGCAAGCGACATACAAGGCCACGAGACTCCCCCTGAGCAACAAACCCAGGTGGTTGCTCCATATAAACTTCATCCTCAAGGTCACCGTGTAAAAAAGCATTCTTAATGTCCAGCTGATAGAGGGGCCAATGGCGAACAGCAGCCATGGATAGAAAAAGGCGGACTGATGCTATCTTAGCCACAGGAGAGAAGGTATCACTGTAATCGAGCCCAAATATCTGAGTATATCCTTTGGCAACAAGACGAGCCTTAAGACGATCAACCTTACCATCCGGACCAACCTTGACTGCATACACCCAACGACAACCAACAGTAGATTTACCTGAAGGAAGAGGGACGAGCTCCCAAGTACCACTCGTATGTAAAGCAGACATCTCGTCAATCATAGCCTGTCGCCATCCTGGATGAGACAATGCTTCACCTGTAGACTTAGGGATGGAAACAGAGGACAAAGAAGATAGAAAAGCATAATAGGGTGATGACAAACGATGATAACTCAAACCGACATAATGGGGATTAGGATTAAGGGTGGCCCGTATACCTTTCCGAAGTGCAATCGGTTGATTAAGAGGAGACAAGTCCGCAGTATTAGCAGGGTCAGGTGCAGGACGTGAATCAGCTGGACCTGATGCTGGGCGCGGACGACGATGATATGTCAAAAGTGGTGTGCCTGTGGCACGGAGTCTAGGAGGAGCCACACTAGACTCCTCAACGGTTGGAATGGATAAGACTTCTATAGCGGAAGGTGAAGGAGGAGCTATAGGAGACTCGGGTAAGACTTCTGTGGCGGAAGGTGAAGGAGGAGCTATAGTAGACTCCTTAAAGGTCGGTATAGGTAAGACCTCAGATATATCAAGGGGGTCAGAAAGGTCAGAAGAGGTAAAGAAAGGTTTAGACTCAAAAAATGTGACGTCAGAGGACATAAAGTACCTACGAAGATCAAGTGGAGTAACAACGATATCCCTTTGAATACGAGAATAACCAAGGAAGACACCACTTGAGAGCACGGGGAGCTAACTTATCTTTCTCAGGGGCTAGGTTATGAACGAAACAAGTGCTCCAAAAACACGAGGGGGAACAGAGTATACGGGTGATTGGGGAAACAATACTGCAACGGTATCTGATTTGGACCGGAGAGGAAGGCATCCGATTAACTAAATAACAAGTTGTGAGAACTGCATCGCCCCAAAAAACACAGTGGAGAAGGTCGATGCTCAGTTATGTAGTATCCTGTGGCGATCTATTGATTCCAAGTTGATGCCTTGTTCCGTCCATTCCAGATGTTATTTAGTTTGGGAAAAGGCTCGTAATCTATAACACTAATGACATATCTCGTTTCTATGATGTAATATCGCGAATGACAAGCTTGAAGAAACAGGAATTAGATATGTCTACTTACTTGGGACAAGTTCAGGCAGTCATGGAAGAATTTGAGACGTTGATGCCAAGTTTCTGCTAGTATTGAAAAACAACAAGAGCAACGACAGAAAAGATGTTTCTAGTTATTACACTCGCTGGACTCCCTAATGACCTTGATTCAGTACGTGGACCAGATTTTTGGCTAGTCCAACCGTCCCCACAGTTGATGAATTATTCTCTCGATTACTTCGCCTTGCTGCAGCACCTAGTCACCCAGTGAGCTCATCACAGACACTTGACTCATCTGTCCTCGTATCCCAATCAGTGGACAATCGGGCATCTCATACTATGGAGAATAGACGAGGAGGAGGTCGTTTTGGAAGATCTAGACCCAAGTGCTCCTATTGTCATAAACTTGGACACACTCGTGATGTATGCTATTCTTTACATGGCCGCCCAACCAAAAATGCTTATGTTGCACAGACTGAGACTACAGGTAACTAGGGATTTTCTTTATCTGAAGGGGAGTATAATGAGTTCCTTTAGTATCGAGCAAGTAAGCAGACATCTCCACAAGTAGCTTCTGTTGCTCAGACTAATACTTCTGTTGCTGGTAATTCTTTTGCTTGTGTTTCCCAGTCTAGTCCTCCTGGACAATGGGTTGTGGACTCAGCCGCTTCTGATCATATCTCTGGTAATAAATCACTTTTGTCAAATATTGCGTATTCACAATCTCTTCCCACTGTTACTTTAGCCAATGGGTCTCAAACCAAAGCAAAAGGAGTTGGACAAGCGAATCCCCTACCCTCTGTCACTCTAGATTCCGTTCTCTATGTCCCTGGCTGTCCTTTTAATCTTGCATCTGTTAGTCGTTTGACTCGTGCCCTCCATTGTGGTATATATTTTATTGATGATTCTTTTATTATGCAGGACCGCGGTACAGGGCAGACGATTGGAACAGGACTTGAATCAGAAGGGCTTTACTACCTTAACTCCCTAAAATCCTCCAAGGCATGTCTAGTTACAGATCCTCCGGACCTAATTCATAGACGTTTAGGACATCCAAGCTTATCCAAGCTTCAGAAGATGGTGCCTGGTTTGTCTAGTTTATCCACATTAGAGTGTGAGTCATGTCAGCTCGGGAAACATACCCGAGCCTCCTATCCTCGTAGTATTGAGAGTCACGCAGAGTCTATTTTTTCTTTAGTTCACTCTGATATATGGGGTCCTAGTAGAGTCAGTTCAACCTTGGGATTTCGTTATTTTGTTAGTTTTATTGATGATCATTCAAGATGTACTTGGATTTTCTTAATGAAAGATCGTTCTGAGTTGTTTTCTATATTCCAGAATTTTTGTGCTGAAATTAAAAATCAATTTGGTGTTTCCATTCGCACTTTTCGCAGTGTTTTAGAATATTTATCCTCTCAATTTCAGCAGTTCATCACCTTCGCTAGCCTTTTTTGTTAAATAATCTTGAACTCCTTGACCTTTACACCACAACTCGACAGATGAAGCCCAATCTAAGCAGTTTGAACCTCCCATTAAAGGTTCTGAGGTAATCATAACACCGGAACTGCCAGAACCCGGGTTTCTAGACCCGAAAGCATCGACTCCCAAAGACATGGTTGGATTATCACCAAATAACAAAAAGAATCAACTGAAAATTCTCTGAAACAGATGAAGAAAACACTGTGTTTGCCGGAAAAGTACTGTAGCTGCCGGAAAAATCAGTGTAGTCGCCGGAAAAACTCAAAGTGGTCGGAATTGAAAAATAAAATTATGGGTAGGCTCGGAATTTGAGGGCGATCCAACTGCCCTGAAGGAACTTCGTCAAAAAATGGCCGGAAAGTGGTGCACGCGCCGGCGCGTGGGCTCACGCGCGTGAGCTTCTGGTGGCGCGTGGAGGCGCGTGGGGTACTGTTTGCCGGAGATTTTTTGTGGGGTTTGGTCGCCGGACAGTGGCGACTCTTGTGGTAGTGTTGGATTTTGCACAACACTGACAGAGACAAAGCAGACGCAAACAGGCTTGAAAAAGTCGCCGGAAAAAAAGGGTTCCGGTGACTGATTTCTCTTCCCGGAATCGCTGGAATTTATGCACAGCGATAAATCTCTCACAATTGCTCTGATACCATGTGAGAATGCACGGGAGAAAATATATTATTGATGTATTGACATATGTTACAATGAGCCCTATATATATACACACACATAACATGTCCTACTCCTAATATATATTGGATTAGGGTTATTTATTTACTCCTATTTACATGACTATTCTAACAATAATAAAAAATAGAAAAGTAATAGTTGAAAAATATCCCAGTTTATGTTGCGTACTTACCTTTTTAGTCTGTCCCAATAAGAATGTTACTTTCTTATTTAAAAGACAATTTAACTTTAAACTTCTCATTTTATCATTAATTAATTTTTTTATAGCGACAAAATTTCTATGGTTCGTTTTATATCAGAAATTCAAGTCTTTCTTTCTTACCTAAATATTGTGAGCAGTCAAACACTGCCACACAAAAGTCTTACTTTATGATGGCTGCACACAGGGCTTAGCCTTTTGGCAAGAATGGTACTATTCCCATGCATATTTGTGTTTCTAATGATTGAATTACGAAGAAGGCATATGTCGATCTTTGATGCAATTGAAAGTTTCCTGCATAGTAGAAACAATTTCATGCCCATTCGATACCCCTACTCCAGCATAAGGAAGATGACTAGGAATTTCAAAGAGAAATTGGGCCAAGGAGGTTATGGTTCAGTATATAAAGGCAAGCTCCGAAGTGGTCCTGATGTTGCAGTGAAGATCTTGACCAAGCCCAAAGCTGATGGGCAAGACTTCATCAACGAGGTTGCCACAATCGGGAGGATTCATCATGTTAACGTAGTACAACTTATTGGCTATTGTGCTGAGAGATCTAAACGTGCCCTCGTATATGACTTCATGCCTAATGGATCACTTGACAAGTACATCACACCCCGAGAAGGAGGAGCTCTACTGAGCTGGCAAAGAAAGTCTGAGATCGCTCTTGGAGTTGCTCGAGGTATTGAATATTTGCATCGAGGTTGTGACATACAAATTCTACATTTTGACATCAAGCCGCACAACATACTATTGGATGAGAATTTCGTTCCAAAAATTTCTGACTTTGGTCTTGCCAAATTATACCCCACGGATAACAGCATCGTTACTCTAACAGCAGCAAGGGGAACAATCGGATATGTAGCTCAAGAACTCATCAACAGAAGCATTGGTCCCATATCTTATAAGGCAGATGTTTATAGCTTTGGAATGTTACTTATTGAGATAGCAGGTATGAAAAGAAACTCGGCAGCAAGAGAGGATATGTCAAGCCAGTATTTCCCACATTGGATCTATGATCAATTCGACAAGGAAAAGGAAATTGAAGTACCAGACGAGACGCATGATGATGAAAAGATCATAAAGAAGCTCACTTTAGTTGCTTTGTGGTGCATACAAATGAATCCACTCGATCGCCCCTCAATGACTAAAGTAGTTGAAATGCTTGAAGGTGAAATACAGGCTTTGCAAACGCCTCCCAGGCCTTCTGAATCACTGCAACCATCTCCGTTGGAATTCAATCTGAGTTCTTCACTAGGTTCAACCGAGTCTATAATTTTGTTTGAGAATTGTTCTGATTCTGCAAAAGTAGATGTAATTGTTGGTTGACATGTGAGTACCACAAACTGTAACTTCACAGTATGTAATACCTGTGCTCTAGATCCGCGTAGCTCTTTAGGAATTTCTCTACCGGATTAGTTGAGTTTATGTTGTATTTACTTTACCGATATTGTTAATTGTTCACAAGCTCTACCCGGTATTCACAAGGTAGGGGTAAGGTCTGTGTACAAACTACCCTCCCCGGACCCCACGGTGCGGGATAATACCGGGTATGTTGTTGTTGTAAGCTCTACACGGTTGGCATAATTTTGTGATTGTTCGTTCACCAAACTCTGCTGGATCGGCATAATTTTATGTGATCTGCAGCCGACATTTCTGTTAAATTATTCGTCAAAGCCTACCCGATAGGAATAATTTTTATGTGCAACCACCCCAAATTTGCTCGAAATGATCTCAATTTTAAAACAAAGCCTTCAAATACTAGTGCAAACGATCCCCAGTCAGCACTTTAGTCAAATAACTCCAAATTAAGAAGACTCACTTTGTCTTCTTAAACACTTTCAAAGGACCAACAATGGAGTTTTTAGATTTTTAAAGCAAATCACTAAATCAGTATAAACTAAAAGTTTAAGTATAAATAATCAATACTCAAATGATTTTAACTTCAAATTTTAAGCTCCAAAATTAAAGAATTATAGTGTTCTTAGAGAAGAAGAAAGATAGAGAAGAAGGAGCTAAAGGGGCTAATATATAATTTGGCACACAAAGAAAAGATGAGGAGTCTATTTATTAAAAACTATTAATTACATAGACTTTAATCTAAAACCGGTCTCTGGGAGGACAACCGCATAATATTTCTAAATAGAAGTTGGCTAAGGCCTCATTTGTTTTTTTTAAGATTAAGGCGTCTGAATCTGAATATACATCTGAATATCAAGGTGTGTATTAAGATTAAGACATCTGAATCCGAATACACATCTGAATATATTAAGATGTGTATTAAGATCTGAATAGAAAAAATTAAGACTGTTTGATTTTTAACATCTGAATATATAAAATCTATCTTTATTTGAAATTTAATAAACATAAAATTCAAATGAAATAACTAATCTAATATTCTATCAATAAAATATGATAGTTGTTGATGATGGCTAACGGGTGAATACCGACTAGAGGTGGTGGTTGGTGGTAGTTTTGGTTGATAATGGTGGTTCATGCTAGTAGCTAGTAGTGATTGGCAGTGGTGGCGATTATGATTGAGGATGGTGGTGGTGGTGGTTGGTGATAGTTAATAATGGCGGGTGGTGGTAGTAATTGTGATTGAGGAAGGTGGTGGGTGGGTGGTGGTAGATTATAATGATGGGCAGTGTCGGCTGTGGTTGTTGACTGTGATGGGGTGGTCAGTTGTGGTAGTTGAGGTGGATGAGTGTTGATTGTGGGGGAGAATGATGGTGGTCGGAGTGATGGGGATAGTGGGTGATGATGGTCGATAAAGGTGGTGGCTATGATTGAGGATGATGGAGGTGGTGGTGGTGGTGGAGGTGGTGGCGGCGGCATGGTGGTAGTTGATAATGATTGGCGGTGGCGCCAGTTAATAATGAATATGTGATAGCATCTTAATGAAATCAAGTCTCTGTTATAGATCTTAATCATATAGACCTATTACCCATTAAGTGGTTGTGAAGTAAATAAAACAAACACACTTAGTGATTAAGATCTGAATAATTAAGATTCAGACTTTAAAAACAAACACACTTAATGTCTCAGATCTGAATGATTAAGATTCAGACTTCCATTAAGTGCAAAAAAATGAGCAGATATTTTTCCATACTTCATTTTATTCCTGTCTTTTTCTCTCTCTATATATAATTTATTTACTACATCACAAATTTTAATTAATTAAAAGAAATAAAATGCTTGATGGATGAAACATGTAGGCTGACGTGGTTAGGATAAAGGGGTTGGAGTGCATGCTTTAAATAAGTTTACTTAGTTAATTATCATTTATGTATAAATAGTTAATAAATGATTATTTATTAATTCAGTAAATTATTCAAATATAATTAATTTTTAGTATATATTTATTGAATTTTCAGATAAACAAAGAAAATTAATTTTGTGAAGGATTCATGTGATGCATTGTATCTGTCATAAAATTGACAAAGAAGGTGATAAAAAATTCCATATACCGTGTTGAATATTTTAATATTAGGACTTTCTTTCTTCACATTGTTGTTTCAATCTATCTGTCCTCTTTCATTTAGAGGTCGTTTGGTACCTGGTTAGAAGAAAGGTTATTCATGTATAAGGGGTAACATAACTTATACCATGTTTGGTAGGCAATAGTTATTTTGTATAAAATTCTGCATAACTAATACCATGTTTGGTTGACATTTTTCAATTATGCATAAATAATACATGTATAAGTTATGAGTCAATCTGTGTATTATTTTATGCGGGGTAGAAGATGGAATAACTAATACATGTATTAGTAATACATGGATAAAATACTGAAATGACAAATTTACCCCTATCACTTTACACATAAGGCTTCCTTATTTCTCCGCCAACCCGTCAACAGGTTTCACTTGCTTTCACTTGCCAACTATATACCTTGTCTTCTCTCATTTTTAAAGAACAAACTAGCAAAAGCAAACTAGAGAAGCCACTAGAAAATGGAAATACCAAAACTAAGAAGTGAAAATCAAATATGTCTAAACTTCACATAGTTCAGTAGTATGACGAAGAAGTGAAAGTAACACTCAAAGTTCCTAACTAAATTGTTTCCTATATAAATGGAAAGAGAGAAAAAACAATGCAAAAGAAGGCCAGGGGTATAGTTGTAAACAAGCATTTTACTTTAAAATTTATATAATGTATATCAATTTCTAATACAACAAACCAAACATTCAAAAAAATAATCTCTGCATAACTAATACCTGCATAACTAATCCCTGCATTACTTATCCCTGCATAACTAATCCCTGCATAACTAATACATATATAACTAATACCTGCATAACTCTAACCGGCAACCAAACGACCCCTTAGAGTAATGAATTTTCTTTCTCCAAGATTTTGCAGGAAAGCAAAGGTAGAAGGAGACTTGGACTTAGTCAGCCCATGGTCGGGAAAGTTCTAGACAGTGAGTCAAAGCAAAAAAACGCGATTATTCAAATTAGATGTCCCTTACGTTTGACGTTTGAGAGTAAGTATAGTTTTGTCCCTATTCTATTATCTTAAATATTAGACAGATTTATTTATTTATTTTCTTCTTTATGAATCTAAGCCCGAATACGCATTTTATTTTTCCATCAGTAAATAAAAACGCCGATGCCCTTTGTGTGCATTTCTCAAAGTTGAATGAATTATCCCCTGGCAAGTACGTAGGTAGTGCCATTGACATGGTTTGAACATGCCAAGCACCGTCAATCAATAGTTTAAATTTTAAAAAAGTATTTAACTAATATCAAAAATCACATATCTATCTGTATTATATTAAAATAATAGTGAATAAAATATTAAATAAAGTGAAAAGTTAATAAAAGATCACATGAAAACGTGATAATATTATATATTAGATAACGTTATAGCAAAAGTAAGAAAAATAATTAAAATTCAAAAAAGTCTATATTGAAAACAAAAGGAAAAGACTATTTGAACTTGAGATTAGAAAGTTCTTAAAGTTATGATGAGAACACTCAAGATACGAATATGATCACAAAATTGAAGTCTTGCTAGATAAAGAATAAAATTTGATACTAAATTAAATTTAAATATGCAAAATAAATATATATCTCACGTAGGTAATTTCACTAATGAAAATTAAAAGCCAAATTTGTTGTGTAGGTCCTCCATCTCTGCTGCCTTCGCATATGCGAACACAATGTTCGCAAATGCGGACTACGAGAATCGCAAATGCGACCACATTTCGCAATTGCGAAAGTCCACCCCCCAGCCCACTGCTCGCAAATGCGATGGTTCCTTCGCAAATGCAAGGATCGCATTAGCGAGCCAGACCTCGCAAATGCGAAGTCTGCAGATCTGATACACCAGCTATAATTTTCTAAGTCCAATGCACTCTATAGCCTATCCGAAACTCACCCGAGCTCTCGGGACTCCAAACCAAACATGCACACATGTCTTAAAACGTCATAGGAACTTGGTCGCGCGATTAAATCGCCAAAATAACACCTAGAACTACGAATTGAACACCAAATCAAATGAAATTTTTATGAAAACTTTAAAACTTCTATTTTCACAACTGGACGTCCTAATCACATCAAACCAACTCTGTTTCTCACCAAATTTGACAGACAAGTCATATATATATATATATATATATATATATATATATATATATATATATATATATATATATATATATATATATATATATACCGGGCTCCGGAACCAAAATAAGGCTCGGCGTATGGTCGAGAAGGGGTGTTTGGCTTATTTGGCTTATGTTCGCGATTCTAGTGTAGAGGTTCCTTCCATGGATTCCGTACCAGTTGTTCCTGAGTTTCCAGAGGTATTTCCTACAGACCTGTCGGGGATGCCACCCGACAGGGATATTGACTTTTGCATTGATGTGGCTCTGGGCACTCAGCCCATTTCTATTCCGCCATACCGCAAGGCCCGCCAGAGTTGAAAGAATTGAAGGAGCAATTGCAAGATTTGCTTGATAAGGGCTTTATTAGACCTAGTGTCTCGCCCTGGGGTGCACCGGTGTTGTTTTTTAAGAAGAAGGATGGGTCGATGAGGATATGCATAGATTATCGACAGCTGAACAAAGTCACCATCAAGAACAAGTATCCATTGTCGAGGATTGATGATTTATTTGATCAGCTTCACGGTGCCAAGGTGTTTTCAAAGATCGATTTGAGGTCTGGCTACCATCAGTTGAGGATTAGGGCATCCGATGTTCCTAAGACAACTTTTTGCACTCGGTACAGGCATTATGAGTTTCTAGTGATGTCATTTGGGTTGACAAATGCCCCAACAGCATTCATGGATTTGATGAACCGAGGGTTCAAGCCCTATCTGGATTCCTTTGTGATTGTTTTCATTGACGATATCTTGATCTACTCCCGCACGTGAGAGGAGCATGAGCAGCATCTTCGAGTCGTTCTTTAGACTCTGAGAGTCAGCCAGTTATATGCCAAATTTTCGAAGTGTGAATTTTGGTTGAGTTCAGTTGTATTCTTGGGTAACGTTGTATCAGTAGAGGGTATTCAGGTGGATCTTAAGAAGATTAAGGCAGTCAAGGACTGGCCTAGGCCCACATCAGCTACAGAGATCCG